CGCCAAGCAAAGGAGTCAGCAAAGGAGAAGAGAACGGCTGCGAGACAACGCAAGACGGATGCCTTTGAGGCACTGATGACCTCGCGCATTGAGCAAGGGCACAGTTGGGTGGCTACAGGAACAGGACTTCATTGCAGGGCCAACCTTCATGTCACCTATGACCAGTTGCTGCTTCTACGAACTGAGCAATGCCCAGTTGCTGGAGCTCCTCCCACCAAAGGGGCTCTGATGACACGGTGTCTAAAGCAGAGGTGGTTCAGGAGATGGTGGCAGGCACTTTTCCTGGCAGTGGTGGGCATGTGCTTGAGCTGCGGAAAAACTACCTTGCTTGCACTAGTTGTGGCCCAATGATTTGAGGCATAGTTCGTTGGACAAGCTCACACTGTTCGCAAAGAAGAAGTGCTGGAATGAAGCATGGCAACCGCCAGTTGATTGGCAAGGCCATTTGACGCATTCGCTCTGGCGGAAGGGCAATAAGGTTCAATGCCTTAAGTGTGGAGGCAACGCAATCTGCGGTGAGCATCGGTATGCGGCTTGCCACAAGCTTAAGCGCAAGTGTGGATCTCATGGGGAGCAGCTCCAGCTCCCGTCCCTGTTTTGCAAAACGGAAGTCGAAACGGACTTCTGACTTCGAGATGAAGCAAGAGCAGAAAGAGGCGATGGAACATATATATATATATATGTATAATGTATATATATATATATATATGTTTTGTTGATTATTGTGACAAATTCTGCCTGACGCGTGCGACGTGCGCTGACACAATGTTCTCACATTATGTTCTTGTGGCCTGACGCCTGGTAATTCTGGTAGGCCTTCTGACACATTATGTAGCGTGGCAAGTGGTTTGCAATCCTTTCTGGTATGATTCTGGCATTATTTCTGGTATGTGTTCTGACATTCTATCTGGTATGTGCTTGGGTCGTGTGCTCACGCCGATCTGGAGCTCCCTTTTTCGTGTGCGGGTCTGTGCGTCCCCAGAATGGCGTTGAGCTCGCTTGAGAGGAGAGGAGAGAAGGGGAGGAGTATGAGGAGTGGTACCTGTCATAACATCTAGAGACCCTTGACTCAGCTGGCAGGTGGGGAACAAGAACAGAATGAAGCGCACAAACCAAAGCAAACAACAAATAAGAAATACAACAAACAAGCTCAAGGCAAGAAACAAAAAAGCAGAACCGTCAAAGGCAAAATGTAAAGAAACAACATGCAGCAGCCAAACAAGTGTGTTTCTCGAAAAGTTGCACTAAGGTACTAAGGAGCAACACAACTAAAAGCAACACACAAAAAAAAACAAAACTTTATAGAGTCGATGGCAACGTCATTCATTACAAGAAATCGGTCAAACTGAGTTGAAACATCTGCTCCGAAACGACGGTGATTCTTCACAAAGTTGAATAATCAAAAACTCCCTCATGCAAAGTGTCTACTGCCGCTAGCAATGAGTCAGTCACCCCAAAGTGATCAACGACCAACCGCGCAAACAACCTCAGACAGAACAAAGGGCTTGCACACAGCGGTCCTTATGTCAGAGACAGGCCGCGCATCGGCATGACTGTAGAAAACTGGCTTCAAAATCAGAAGCGGTTTTCGCAGTGAGCACTGGGAAAAGGATCGGCCGAATGGCCAAAAGAAGGGTGGTCGAAGGCACAGCACTGGTTGACAGGGTCGTAGCAACGTCACAATGCCAGCCAGCTTTACTTGCTGCCTCACAGCCAGCTTTTCTCCGCAAAAGGGAGTTGAACACCCAGAAGCCCACTGCGCAATATTCAGACTCTTGTCCATTCTGGAAAACAGCAAAATGAAGCATGAAGTAGTAACAAGTGCCACGCTAGTAGTAACAGGTGCCTTACTAGTAGTAACAAGAAGCTATTAGAAACAAGAAGCTAGTAGTAACAAGTTAGGCAAATCACCTTGTGCTCTGCAACACCAAAGGTTCGGTTTTCCAGGATGCCAACCGTGTCCCAGAACCTTGCTGGGCAACTTGCATGTACACTCTACTTTTGAGATCCGCAATACCTCTTGTTGTCAGGTTTATGGATGTCGTTCTCGAGGTTTTTGAAGCACCTCCTTGGAGCGGGTAAAGCTCCTTCTTAGGGACGGTACAGCAGTCTTCAGAACCTGACAGTTCTGCAGATTCATGGTCTACTGAAACTCCATTGTTTCGCATGTGGCTCGTACTGGTCTGCACGAAATCATCAAGAAGTCCTTACTGCAAGGTCTCTATGAGTGCCCATTTCAATGAGGTTGATTGCACCGAGTAAAATGCTTAACTACTAGCAGGAAATGACACCCATCTGCAATGAATTGCACAGAAAACCTCGGGCTCAAAGGCTTGCAACATCAGGCATCTTGTGCCAAAAGATCCTATAACTACTAGTTCAACGGCAACAGAATATTGGCTTCAACATTGGATGCTCCAGGCTCGGCTTCCAGTGGGCTGGGAAAAGGATCGGCAGAATTGCTGAACACATGGAGGTTGGAGTCCAACATCCCTGGGTCTCAGATTCTCAGATCTTCAAAGACGGGATTTTAAGGGTTGTAGCGATATAACATCAGCCAGCTTGGCGCAAGCCTCCTCCTTTTGCTTCAGACCTACCAGAAGCCTGTGGCTCAAGCATCTCTGGCCCCAAACAAGTCACTCCTTTCGAACCAGAATTTGAGCCAGGAACGAATCTTTCATCTCGGTGGTTTCAAACATTATCACCACCTGTTCTGCAAGAAAACGAAACCTTCTCCCCAACTCGTCCCCAAGAGCCAAAGACGAAGAAGCCGACGGCCCATCAAGGAGACCACAATGAGAGACGTTTTTGCTTTAAGGCAAAGTATCCATAGTAAACACATCCTGATTGGTTCTATTGCTCTGAAGTCATGTCTTCCCATGTATTACTGAAGTCATACTTTGCCCATCTTGAAACGAGTCCTCATACTTTGAGCACTACAGGCACACAATGAGATCATCACCAACTCGCAGAACGGAAAAGGGCGGATTCTCCAAGAAACCTGCCACGAGCCGCGGCCGTTCCGGACGGAGCGGACCGACCGCCGACTGTCCGGCCGACGTTGGTGTGAAGATTCCAGAAGCTTAGCCGACTGTGGGCAAACATCGGGTGAACTGATATTCAACCAAAGACCGGTGGTTACAACAAAAATGTGTGTCTTCTTTCCTATAGTTTCAGGATTTGTGTATTGTTCTAACTGGGATTCGACATGATTTCCTCCCACTTAATACTTTGGATATCAACATGTTCACATCATTATCATGTTCATCATGGTCCTCTTCATAAAATGCACACATCGTCACACAGTCGTCATGATACGTATCTCTGTCTGACAGCATCATCATCGCATCGTGACATCATGCCATGGCAAAATCACTCCAACATCCACATCGTGACATAATTTTATGCAATTTCTGTACAAGTTTTTTTTTTTTTTTAAAACATCTAAAACACTTTACATGTTATTTAATCTTAAAACAAAAAACAAACAATCGTTGCGTACAGAAGTTCTTATTGGATGTTTTCTATCTGCTTACTCTCTTGCATCATGTTGCTGTCGTGTTATTTGTCGTAATTTCTGCCTCATGCTTTCTATTGAGACAAACAAAGAACATCAATTCAGGGTCTAGCCCAGAATTAGATATTAACGGATCTCAATAATTGGACACCCCAAACAGAAGAGCCAATCCTAATCTCCTATCTTGAACTTGAGCACATTTCTTTAATGGCCATTTGGCCCCTCGACAAACGATGGAGCGGACGTCCCACCTTTGATGTAGTTGCGCGCATATGGATGGAGCGCAGCTTCCTCCTGAAGGAGCCTGTGCCGTTCCTCCTCATTCTCCACTAGAAAGAGCTCCACAATCCGTGCTTTCATAGACTCACGCTTGGCTCGCCGTGGACGGCCAGGCCCCTCGCAAGGCCGCTTCTCATGCAAATGACAAAAGTCACACGTCTCCGTGCAGCCATGCGAGGAGGTCCAGAAAACACAGGGAGTGCAAGAACTGTGGTGGGAGAGCTGGTACCTGGCTTCCTCAGTGCTAATGTCCAGTTGGCCATTTGCCATTGCACAAGCACGACCGGGGCTCTGTTCAAAGACTGCAAGGTAGAGAGTGCATGGGATACCAAGAATTCGGGGTTTGTTGGAACAACATCCAAACACATCAAACATCAATGTCGAGGTGATGAACTTTTATCCTTCAAAAACAAAGTGTGCTTTCTCCACCCTTCTCCATACAAACTATGGCCATAAAGTCGTAGAATCATCACATATTTGTGAATTTAGTTCCAAAAAACACGACTTACACACGGTCTTGTGCTTTGCAACTGCGGCGACACACCACAAGCTGACCCCAACTGTGTTCACCCCATCGGTGCTTCGCATCTTCGGCCGAAGACTCGGTGTGGCCCGGCAGTGTCGGTGGACGAGCTGGGAGCTCACTGAGTTGACCCACCAAACCCAAAAACATGACCGGGTGCTTCAGCCAGGCAGCCGTTGACTACGACTCGATGCGGTGGTGAAGAAAAGATGTCGAGATAAAAGCTCCACAGGGTGACATGCATTTGGTCTAAGTTTGGCCATGAAACAAAAAAACAGTTAGCATCTGGTGACAGTGAATGGCGAACAAAAAACAACAACAAACCATGGCCCGGGATCGCCTCCTTTCATCCAAGCACACCTATCTAACACCAGAAAACACACACATGGTTCATCAGAGTGACCTTTTGATATCCCAGTTTGAGGTCACCTGGCGTGTGAAAGGTCACTTATAGAGGCTCCACCGGCGCGACGGTCGAAAAGGGCGGTTGATTGGTGGCCTTTTAACTTTAGAACAAATCCATTAACAAATGTAATATTAATTATTGTTTCTGATAGCTTCTTGCTACTAGTAGTAAGGCCAGGAACCCCTAGTAGCATTCTTGTTCCTAGTAGTGATGCCAGGAACCCCTAGTATCATCCTTTGCTCACAAATCCTGAGTTCATCCATCATCCCAGTCACGAAGGGCGACGCCAAGCCTCGGCCCTTGAACCTCGGCGAACCGAGCGGCACGAGTTGGGGCGAGCGGGTCCCTGACCCGGATGACGCGGGACGGCAGGTCAAGCCACCGATGTGGGACCTGTCTGCGGAACTGTCCGGGTGGAAACAAGCGGTACAAAAGGATGAAAGCATTCTGCGCGCCACTGCGCAATTCCCACCTTCTGTAAACATGGTGAAACATGTGTGTATGTCAAGCCCATTCAAACTCTAAGGGGGCCACACACTCCTAATTTACTCTCAAGTCACTTCTTAACTCAAGCTCTGTTCGTTTCATTGTGGACACAGCATTTCACGGGGACTGTGTCCAACGAAGCTACCAGTGAAATGGGATATCCAACTTGGCCAGCTGGCCGTACCTGCCTCGATGATACTTTTCATTTCCTATTGGTCCCTGCTCCTCACTAGAACAATTTGCCAGCCATTGCATCGGTTCTGAGCTTGCTTGAAACAGTTCTGTTTTTGCCGACGAATCACCTTACTGTTTTGCAAGTCAGGGTCTTGCCAACTGGACTCTGATCGTTTGGGTTCCCACCCACCCCCCCGCCGAGTTCTACTCCCTACCTAATTAGGGTAACAGAGGGAAATGGTACTCGACACACTTGTGTGTCGGTGCCTTTCGCCCTGTTGTCCCTGTTCTAGTCCACTCTACCCGGGCAGTTTAAGACTAAAGTCCCGCTCCCTAACTATTGCACCTAATTAGTTTCCGCTAAGTAGTCGGTAACTCTAGAGTGCTAAGTATTCAGACACACACATGTACACGCACATGGACATACACCCCCTCCCTGCCCCCCCGCTTTCTTTCTTCCGCTTTTCGTCGTTTCTTGGGCTTTCTTTCAGGCTTTTTAGGTGGTTCTTGAGGTTTGTTTCCCTGCCCCAGTCAAGAGCTAAGTATTCACCTTTCACTACACCTATCTTTCTTCCTGCCCTTTTAGCGCTGCTCTTTCTGTCTTTCTTTCTTTCGTTGCTGAGGCTTTTTGGTGCCTATTTAGGTTTTTTCGCCGGAGCGCCGCAAAGCGGCTGAGTGTGTGTGTCACACTCTGCTTCCAAGAGTTCTAATACGAAGGGGGACGGGTCACCACCGATACTGCCCGTCCAACGAAGAGGGTATCGGTTGGTGCTGAAGCAGTGGAGGACGCTCCACTGTGTACCTGCATCAAACGCAATAACTCCACTGGTTTCCCTTGCCGCTGTTGGTTTGTTTCCATGGTGGTTCTTCGCATGATATCCCACAAAACAGGTTTCCTTGCACGGCGTGAATTCAGTCTGCTAAGTAATCAGTAACTAGTTTTCTGCAGTCACGGCAACCTTTGTTAAGACACCTTCAAGTACTCGGACTTTTCGCCTTTCGGTTCACTCTTTCCTTTCCTATAGGTCTGCTAAGTATTCAGTAACTAGTGTTCTGCAGTCACGCGTTACCCCCTTCTGTTAAACAATACTGTTTTGCGGACTCTTCCACCTTTTCGTTCCCTCACCTTTTTCCACTTAGGAATAGATTCAGATTAACTGAAGGCCAATGTCAGAGTGTGTCAAACCCTGTTCCTAAGGGGAACCACACACTCCTAACTTAATCTTAAGTTATTTCTGAATTCAAGCTCTGTGCAGCAATTGCAGGGGGACACAGCATTTCACTGGGACTGTGTCCAACGAAGCTACCAGTGAAATGGGATATCCAACTTGGCCAGCTGGTCGTACCTGCCTCGATGATACTTTTCATTTCTTATTGGTCCCTGCTCCTCACTAGAACAACTTGCCAGCCATTGCATCGGTTCTGAGCTTGGTTGAAACAGTTCTGTTTTTGCCGACCAATCACCTTACCGTTTTGCAAGTCAAGGTCTATTGCAGTAAAGTAAAGTGCTATTGCATCAGGGGTACGGAAACTGACTCTTCCTCTTGCGAGCTCTATATCTAAGTGTGTTTTGTCAACATTTTAGAGCCGCCCTCTCCTTGTGCTATCTTTGCCTATCCGTTTTGGACATCGAATCCCAAACTCAACCGTTCGACACGTGCCGGAAGCAACACCATCCGACCACACTCGACCGGCACTCGATGGAGCGGAGCGGCGGAGCGACTCGCGGCTTGCGACCCGGTGAGTCGTGCAAAAGGGGTTAGAAGAACAGCAACATCTCCAAAGCCTGCTGAGGGCAAGGATGCCGACGATGCACTGACTTGTGAGATCACCCCAAGCATATAATTTGGTGTTACAAGGAATGAAAGGCACTGGCTGGAGAAAAAAACCGCCCACACGCCTGCACACGTTCGCGGTGTAGTGCGCCTGGTGGAGTGCACTGACTGCTGGGCTTTTGGTTGGTGATCCATGTTGGTTCTTTGTAGGACTCCACCTGCTGCGTGCTCCCATGTAATCCCGAACACTTATTCAAAAGCGCTGCCCACTTGAAAAATGTCATGTCGGAGACTCCTACATTCATATGGGTTGTATTTGTCTTTTAAAATTACCGCCCTTTATACTAAACTACCAACATGGTCGACTCAACCCTGCGGCGTCCATCTTTGCGGGTCCCCCGATTTTGGGACGTCCCCCCCCAAAAAAAAACACCTACGCGCACATCCCCCTGGCTTCTTAACCTTTTCTGCGGCAAAGGAAACTCTATTTAACTATGTGTGTATGATTTGCTAAGCATTTATTTTGTAAAATGAAAAGCCAACACTTATCCAAAATGACTGGGGCAGGATACCACATTGACAATGTGTGGCTTGATTGCAGTGCACATTAGTTTTTATAAATAAAACGTGTCACAAGCAAGGGACCAAGGGATAACAATAATTGACCTATATATAAATTGATCTGGGCAAGAAAAACATGTTGTGCATAAAATGCAGTGTCCAGGATTGGCACAAACTTCTTGTTCGCTCAGATTTTTTGGCCCATGGCTTCAATGTTTGTGGAACATTTGGCCTTGTATCTACATGTATCCACCATGTTTGAGCCATCATCATCATGTCTGGTCAGCGTCGTCTCTAGTATATACTGTTGTATCATGTTATGTACAAAACTGTTTCTAAAACGAGCTTATCAGTGCATTCCCCAATCCAGTTGATTGCCTATAAAAGGATCTGTCCAAGATCAACCTTGGTTTCAGCTCAAACTCTTTTTGTCACAAGCAGTTCTATACTTTGATATTGATGCGGCCAGCATTGAAGGGCTATCTGTCACTTATGTTCCTTAAATATGGATTGAACATGCCATCATTATGTTGGACAATCTCCTGAAAATACAAAAATACAGCTTTGTGAAATGACCACCCGGTTTGGTCATTTCATAAATGCAAAACATAATATTCATGTTATAAAGGTGCAATCTAGGGGGATACACGCACAGATCTTTCTCATTAGCGGGGCCCGTATTTTTTTGACAGGTGGAAGGAATGTTTCCCCCAAGAGGTGCGTAGATCGAGTTCGACAAACAGTTTGACCATATTTGACCATTCGAGAAATACACGCTGTACCTCGCTGTATTGTGTGTTTTCCAATTTGATGCACTTCTAATGTCTTTTGTCTTCTTCAACACCTCCCAGAACATATCAGAAAATTGTACCTCTGTATTGACCCTTTCCGATAGTCCAGAGTCCACACCGAAATCGAAGATGCTCCCCAACTCTTCGGCGTGGCGAATTTCACTCCCCAGGTCCTCCGCCCCCAGCGTCTCTCATCTCAGCTTTCACTCGCCTCATGGAAGGCTTGCGATGCGTTGATGCCCGGTGCTGGGGCCTGAGTGCGGTGTTCTCGAGCGGCGATTCGGCCGCTCCCAACCGGACCCACGGCTGCGAACAGCATAGACCGAGGTCAACCTACCAGGGTCAGGGTAACCGGGGTGTGTCCGCTGAGACACTGCCTTCCGCACTGTGATAGCACAAATCCGAAGCTGGGCTCATGGGAAACTGGAAAACCTGAACCACTGGCTCACCATGCTCACCCACTTGTTTTGTTGGCCGTCTCTCGCTTCGAAAATGCTATTTTTGACCCTCCAAAGAATCGACAGCTTCGGTACAGGACTGTCACCCATCGTCCGACGACGCACCACTTCAATAGAAGTGGCATAGACGATGGTTGGAGGGAGGGTAGCAATTCCAACCTTCACCTGAAGACTTCCAACTTCACCTGAAGATCAGAAATATAAAAGACATTTCATGAAATTCCCAATCTTTCTGATTGATGGCCATTGGAGGGCAATTAGGGCCGAGCTTCCACATGTGGGATGGTCCAATCTCACACCTCCCTTGTTTGTCCTTGGCCCCGCACCAAATTCCCACGCTCCTGGGGGCAGAATCGGAGACGGCACTCTGATGCATGTGTGCTATTTTCTTTTTTAACTTTTGTGATTGGCCCCCTTTGACACACGGATGCATAAGCTGGACTAAATCAAGCCAGCAAAGGACCACCAAGACACACGAGACATATGACTCATATGACTCACATGACTGAGTCATATCATATGACCTAAAACATGCGTCGTATTCATCAAAACACCGCATGTACATACCACCCTGATTCTGAGGTACATCAAATAGAGTCCATGTCTGAAGCTTGCCCAACGGAGTGTCTCAATTGGTTTGTCTCATATACACATGCTCAACGCAGCTATAACATGTCGAGCCAATATATAATATAATATACTATACCAAATTATACCAATATATACCTATTTACCTATATATATATATATCTACTTAGTGTAGCAGGATAAGGTCCTTCTTGTTTGCTGCCCCACCGTTTGGCAACAGAAGCACTCATCGGCCTAGTGCCCAGGGGGCCATGACTCAGTGCACAGCTACAAACGTGTCGTGCACCGAACTGCAACAATATGTCAAGCAACCCTGATAAGTATTTCAAATAGGAAACAGCCACTAAGATACACCTTTTTCTTGAGCCATAACACGCGTGGTAGGTGCGATGTATATGTACAACAGCTGTGAAAAATACCCCCCGCGGCGCCGCCAGTTCACTGGCAGCACCGAAGAGGCAGACAGCAGCCATCATAGACCTCAGGACAGGCTGCAATGCTATGTACAAAATGCACGACCTACGAATGCGTGGTTGTAGTGGAGAAAGTTGCAAATAAGGCTCGGCTCTTTTTGCGCGCTCAGCGGATTGCTGTAAAAGGCAAAATACACGGCTTAGGTTTCCACCTAGCATCACGGGAGCATTACCACTCCAAACAAGATGCCACAGGTGCCATGAACCGTGAATTACTATAGACAACATGAATGCACCAGGCGTGCCAGCCAAAATGGACGCGGCAAACCTTCCGGTTCGCAACGCTGCAGAAACAGTCAGCCAAAACTAATGATGACGGCTAACGTTCCCGTTAGCGTAACGAACTTGAAATCCCAATACTTTACACACCAACACGAGAAAGAAAGCATTCCGGCTAACGTTCCCGTTAGCATGGAAGATACACACTCTAGCGGCCAAAAGGATCTATGGGTCCCATTCCCAGTAAGATCCGGACCACTCACGATCGCCATAGTAAACCCGCTCCTGGGCAGGCTTACCCTTGCCCTTCTCCTTGCCATGCCCCTTGTATGGCTCGGACTTATACTGCCCCTTCTGCGGCTCATACTTGCCCTTGCCCTTCGGCTGATTTCGCTCTTCCCCTTGCCCTTGGCCTTGGCTGCGCCCTTCATTGCAATGTCCTGGGCAATGGTGCGCTCTGGCATCCGAAGAGCTTCCGGCTGCACCTTTTCCCTCCGAGGGCTTCGGCACCACTCGCCACTGATGTGCGGATGGCGCCCACGGGCGCGGGCGATCAGGTTTGCCCTTGCCCTTCCCCTTGCGGGACTGGGTCCTCTGCTGGAGGCGTTGCTCGTGATAGGTGGGGCAATCGATCTTATAGTGCGGCCCCCCGCACACGAAGCAACCGGAGGCTGGAGCTTTTCCTTTGCTTTTGCCTTTCTTGGCTTTATGCTCGGCCTGGTCAACGGGAAAGAATCCAGATCGCAGATTCTGGTTCGCCGTCGACTTGCGAGACACCGCACTGACCTTCAATTGCGCGTGCCTTCAGTCACCGACAAGCTGTGCCCAAACTCATTTGCAGCATCGGGCCAGTTCAATCGGGCGAAGGACACAAGGTCCTTGAGGATGTTCTCGGCCGAGCCTTCCGGCTGGCAAATCTTGTCGTTCCAGCCGATGATCACAGGCGGTGGCTGATTCTTCTGCAAGATTGCAAAATCGACGTACGTGGCAAACTGCGCAAGGGTCAAAAACCGGCATTTGTGTGCCACGAACGCCTCATCAGCCAAATTGACAGGATCGTCGTCGCCCCTGTCGAGCTTCAAGATGAAGCAGAGACGGGTCGCGCGAGCCTCCAGCTCCTCCTGCTCCTCTGCGGCCTGATCATCCTTTCCGGTGTCCTTTCCCTTCTTTCCTTTTCTCTGTTCGGCTGTTCTTCCAAGCTTCGGGTTCATACTTCGTCCGAGCCTTTGAAGGAAGTCAAGTGCATCGGGCGTGAGGTTTGCCCTTGCACAATTCACCGCATAAAACGGATCAGTTTCCAGCCTCTCTCGAAGGGTTGCAGCTCCGCGTTTCTTGGCCTGTCGAATGTGGGCCTTTGCATTGTCGCGGAGGACACCGAATGCCGATCGGGCACCACGGCGTTCAGTATCGCCGGCTTCGGCAGCGGACTTGGTTTGTCTCGCTTTTCTTGGGATCCGCTTGATCAAATCTTCGATGACACAAGTGGTGTTCTGCAGATGCGCCTCAGCCTGGGCCCTGGCCGCTTCAGTGGCAATTCTGGCGTCCGGCCACACCCTCAGGTGGGCTTTGCAGTAGTCGCACTTGATCCCTCCCTGCCAATTCTCATTTCCGCAGAGCGGAGTGCGGCACTTCTCCACAGGGATTCGGAGGATCACGTTGATGGCGACATCCTTGGGCTCGAGATCATAGTTGTCTTGCCCCCGCGCCCACGGACGATTCCGGTTGTGGTGCGCGCTCCTCAGCCCCGCGATGTCAGAGTTCTGGACAATCGCACAGGGGGCGAGCATGTAGCCCCTCAACTCGCAAGACTCAGCCTCAGTTCCCGGCTGCGCCTTCCGGCGAGCATCGGTTTGGGCAAGTTCATCGATGACCCCTTCGAGCTCACGGGGTGGTCGAACGATGTTCACTGCACCCTTGACGATCTTGGACTTGACGTCCGCCCAGTTGTCGACCAACATAAAGTTCTTCATCATCCCGAGACGGGAGAGCTGATACTGGGCCGGTGCAGTGGGATGATTCGGATCGGCATCCTGAAATTCCTTGATGGTGGCATGATAATCATTCCGGAATTTCGGATAGGCTGGATTCGCCCAAGCGAACGATGCATCCCGTGCGTTATACGCAAACATCAGATGCTTATTCCCTAGTCTTCAACGACCATTAGAAATTTGGTCTTCCGGAAAGACTATTAGATACCACTGATAGCATGAATGGGCGTGAGATAGCGTGAATTGGCGTGAGTTGAGGAAGATGCAAATATGGAGGATGTTTCAAAGTGGGTCCCTGGTTCTCTGCAGAATGAATATTGAATTAACCAGGGGAGCACGATGACCAGGTTTCTGCCGCTGTGTGGCTAGTGCCCTAGAGGGCTCTAATGTTTCATGCTCACATCCTGCAGTGCAGACATTTTTGAAGGGACCTCTTGATCATATGCTCCATGAACTTGAGCTTGAAGCAGCATTCTTTGATGTTTTGTACTCTTTGGGACTAGTCGGCTGCAATGGCCTGATGCGCAGAGCCCCTTGCGCACGCCAGAGTCTTAAATGCTCTCTTCTTTTGGATCTCTCAATTGAGTTTCCTCTTTCTCCCTCTCTCTTTCCCCTGACCCATGATTGATTCTCCCAGGTCTTTGTGAGATTCATGGCTTGTCGGACGGCGTGTTTGGGACCAAATGCGCAGAGCCCTTCGCAAACGCAAGGGTCTCAATTTCTAAATTACAATATTACACTGTTCCCCGGGCCTCTGAATTGGTGGATTTCCCAGGCCTTTGCGAAATTGAAGATCGATCTGGTCATGGCTTGGTCGACGAAGGGCTGTATGGCGATCCTGATGTAGGTGCCAAGCCTCTCTCCCCCAGCCACCAGTTTGGAGCATTTTTCTCGAATGTTTGCTTCGCGAGCAAATACGTTAACATGATTTGGGTGCTACTGCAGCCTTTTTCATTTATAGTTGGTACAAGTGCAATTGTTGGCTGGCATAAAGATGCCAAGCAACAAGCCAGACACAGGGCGCGTGCAACTCCTCAAGGACATTAGTCAGATCTTCCAGTTGGGTGAAGTGTCTTTTTTTTACATTTTTTCTTTTAATTCGTTCGATACAATTGGTCGCAGGAGTTCTACCGGGAGTTCTTCAAGGTTGGAAACTATCGGAAGGCCAGGTTCCTCCAGTGTTCTGCCGCCTTGGGCATCCCAGAAGAGAAGGCACTCCGTTCTTTGAAGGACGGCAAGGTGTCCTAGCATGCATGTATATTCAAACCAAATGTACGCCACTCTCACTCTCAGTCCAGTTCTGTCCTAGCTCAGGTTGGAAGTTTTCATTTTAAACAATTTTCAGCCAAGGTTCCCTGCTTCTTTTCGTTTGTGAACGTTAATGGAACCGTGGGGGAAGATGAGGCTTTGGTGTGGACATGACAGAAAGAACTTAGCTTCATGTATCAACTGTTCACGTGGTTGCCTGAGATTGTTTTCCTCTGCGTGCATTGCTTTGCAAAAGGTTCAGAAGGAGATCAACTACGAGTTTACCCTGAACTGGCTGGCTTCTTTCGCTTCGAACCCTCCCAACCAAGCCGAAGTACAAGCCCCTGGCCAGCAAACTAATTGCTCTGCACTGCATTGGGATAAGGAAGGGGGGGGACAACACCAAATCTTGCAACTCTAAGTTGGCTTTGATGGAGATTGCTGTGGAGTTCAAGCTGAACTATGTGGCCAAGCCTGGAGAACCCACCAAAGAGGATGCATTGCGTTTGGAGGACCTGTTTTGAACAAACCTTCTGGATGTATGGATCGATTGATTTAAGAAAATAGTTCCCTGATGTTCCCTGTTTCCAGATTTTGTCCCATGGCCAGGAGTGGAGTGAGAAGGAGGCGGGGCTCCAGAGAGCCCTAGCTTCCTATGTCCATCGCAGAGTATCGAGAACTCATGCTTGCAGGCTGGCTAAGACTTTGACACTTCGATTTTGATGTACTCTTAGGAGGAGAGTTTTCCGTGTCATGGGCTTGAATTATGAGAATTTATTTCAAGTGCAGGCCTGGCGCGGAACGAATGCAAACATTGAAACAAAT